CATGTTTCTCATTCGGCTTGAGTATTCCTAGCATTCCCAAGAGAGTACGATTAAAGCGTTCTGTCAGTCCATTCCCCATGGGGTGATAGGGTGATGTTCTGGACTTATTCATGCCAGTGATATTACACATGGCCCTCAAAATTGGCTCCTTGGTCCGAGTGAATACGCTGTGGTATGGGAAAGCAAAACGGGTGAAATGGTCTGTGATGACAAGTATATACTTATGTCCTCCCTTTGATGGACCAACTCTAGGGGCTGTGTAGTCTCGATACGTACCATGGGTGACCTAGGATTTGCTGGAGATCTCCGAAGACATCTATCAGATCTGCGTACATAATGTTCAACATCTGTTGTCATTCCTGACCAATAAAACCGTTCTCTCACTGAAGACATAGTCCTGTCACGTCCTGGTTGCCCAATATTATCATGTAAACCACTCAATGCTACTTTAAGATAAGTTATCGGTAGTACCAGTTGTATCTTTTCTTCCCCTTCCATGTTGACTCTACGGAATAATACTCCATTCTTCATAGTAAACTTCTCAAAATTCTTGTAGATAGTAGACATCTCACTGGATACAGGAAGTCGACTGCGCACAGGTGTTGTTCCTGCTAAGATATGGTTCATGATGCTTGATAGGTTCACATCTCTGTGCTGAGCTTTCTTCCAATCTTTCATAGTCATTGAGTTCAAATCTGTTAAAACCTCGTCTAGCTGGTTCACAACTTCTGTTGACATAGAGAAACTACAGAATAGATTTACCAGTCCCTGCAGTTTACCGTAAACTTGATGGTCATTGTTATCTGGTTTGATTAGTGGCAGGGTTCATAATATACACACCCCACTCATTATAAATTTGAAATTGACCATTACTCCTCAAAGTGAATACATTCATATAACTAACTGGTTGTTGCACATAACCCTTTTTACAGTACTCGGACCAATTTGAAGTTCCACAGTTTTGGCCCCTAATATCATTGATGAGTCCTAGAGGGACGAAACAGCTGTATGACACCGTACGAAACAGCTGTACGACACGGGACGAAACAGCTGTACGACAGGGGACGAAACAGCTGTACGACAAGGCACGAAAAAACAGCTGTACGACACCGGACGAAAAAACAGCTGTACGACACGGGACGAAACAGCTGTACGACACCGGACGAAACAGATGTAAGACACCGGACGAAACAGCTGTACGACACGGGACGAAACAGTTGTACGACACGGGACGAAACAGCTGTACGACACCGGACAAAACAGCTGTACGACACCGGACGAAACAGCTGTACGACACAGGACGAAACAAATGTACGACACCGGACGAAACAGCTGTACGACACCGGACGAAACAGCTGTACGACACCGGACGAAACAGTTGTACGACACCGGACGAAACAAATGTACGACACCGGACGAAACAGCTGTACGACACGGGACGAAACAGCTGTACGACACCGGACGAAACAGCTGTACGACACGGCACGAAACAGCTGTACGACACGGGACGAAACAGCTGTACGACACCGTGTAATTCATTTTAGGGATATTGTGTTAATTACAACAACAAAAACTGTAATCAAATGTGCGTGCATTACGTCCATCTTTCAATATTTAAAGTGAAATACTCCGATGCTTGAGGTTTTAGTCCCCGGGTTTTTGGTCACCATGGTGGCCACTGTTATTTTTCTTTGAGTAGAGGCAGGATTTACAATATGCACAACTCATTATTAATTTGAATTTGACCAGTTTTCCCCCCGTTCTATTTTCAGCAGTAGTTTAGACCAGTTCGGTTTCATCCTTTTTGGCTCCTAGCATCATTGATGAGTCCTGGAAAGATGAACCTGGTGTAAACAAATTGTGAAGGTGTATCACAAGGGTGCATCTTACGTTTATAGCTTGTCAGATACAAAACCCCGGGTAAGTAGCTGACGAAACTAACAAAACCATAACACTATTAAAATGCACTTCCTCGTATTACTTCCCGCACTAAGATATGCAATCATTTAAAACAGTTATCATCAGACTGGACATCATTAAAAACAAAATAAAAGATAACAAAGACAGGTCGTTCACATCATGTTAACAAACCTCTTGTAAAGCAATGACGGCCTCCTGAACTTTATTTAGTAATGTGTGTTCTGCCACGGGACTGACAGACAGATAACAAAAATCTCAAGACGTTGCGTTGCCTTTATTGATCCCGTAAAAACTACAACATATGAAAATGATAGAAACCATTTACAAAATGGTCAAAAACATTTATCCTAACTTCGTTCAAACCACAAATTACTCCCAACATAATAGTTAGCATATAGCTGGGCTTATAGCCGGTAAAATACGGTAATGTGAAAACTGCAATTCAAGGTAGGCTTATTGCCGGAAAACTACGGTAATGAATATGACACAACACAAAATTCCACTTTGGCAGTGTGAACTGCAATTTCTATGAAATATGAGGTGACGTAATATTACCCTACACTTAATCATATGACAGTTAAATTGTAAATCTATATCAAATGCGAACAGATCAATATATTACAATTAATCATGAAAAGTACACAACATACAAATTATATGGCTGTCAGTAAATTGGCATGGACACTTACATCGTGGTGACCTCTAGATTTGACGGACAATGGACGTGACATCTTCCGTAGTTTGCATATACTCGTGACATGTCATTTGATGACTGTAAACAATACAACGTAATTATCAGTATGCGACATAAAAAACACCTGATAATTTTGACTGACTAGATAGACTGAAACTAGACAACTTGTCTTGGACACTAAATAAAAACAGTGATGGACTATCTAGTTACATTAGATTGATCAATTATCGCAATAAAATGATTCGACATACCTAAGTCAACTCGGTACAGCTAAACAATATATGGTCGAAATGACTAGCAGTTTCTTCTTGCACAGAAACTGTTTAAACCACTTTGGGTTGATTTATGGATTGCAATCATCATATACTTAGACTCATAATACAAAGTTAACAACCAATATCATCTTACTTACTCGAAGATTGACGTAGAAACAGCTGCATTCGTGTGCATTTACGGTGTGTTGCAAAGGAACGAATCATATGTTTACGCGCTGGGCGGAAAGACATACCAAGGGCGATAACTCTAGTTTACACATTGTAATTAAGGAGACACGAACCAATGGTCCAACACACTCCCCGTCCTGATATGCTTTATCAGCTATTAAAATGGTATTAACATAATCACATCAAGATCAGTTCATAACTCTCAGAGTCCAATAACAATGTTCACTAACTTATAATGACTAGAGAAATAGCAAAGGTACACATTTAGTCTTTTGGAACTAGTACGGTTATTTCGGAAACCGGACGAACAAACTTGGATGAGGTTCCGTCGCGACAGATAAGCACTTGCACTTTACGGATGATCATGAGTCCATCGTCACTTGGGAACGTGCGTGTTATAATGCCCATGGGCCAGTCATTGCGAGCAACCTGATTGTCCCTCATAAGAACAACGTCTCCTTCCTTGACGTTAGGGGTCGCACACGGCCACTTTCTCCTAGATTGTATTGTCGCGAGATACTCTCGTTTCCACCGATTCCAGAACTGGTTGGCCAGCACCTGAACATGTTTCCACTGAGCATGGTACATTTCCTTGACATTCAGCTGAATGAACGACTCAACTGGACTACCTGTCTTCTGTGTTAGAAGTATTGATGGGGAGAGGATGAATGGAGCTTCCGCATCTGAAGACACCGGAACTAACGGACGCGCATTCACTATAGCACAAACCTCCGCCATGAGGGTAGAAAGAACTTCGTGTGTGAGGCCTTTGCGAGTTTCTAATAGCATGGAGTCTAATATGCGTCGTGCTACGCCGATCATGCGTTCCCAAACGCCTCCAAAGTGGGAAGCGTGGGGAGGATTAAATCTCCAGATCGCGCCCGAATCACGGAGAAATTCCTTGACTGAATCCTCCTCCACGTTTATGGCTGTAATTCCCAGATCCTTGGTCGCGCCAACAAAATTGGTTCCCTGTCGGAACGGAATTCAGTAACTTTTCCCCTGACCGAGTAGAATCTCCTCACTGCGTTAACAAAGGAGGACGAACTCATCTCCTCTATAACCTCGATGTGAATTGCCCTAGTAGTAAGGCAGGTGAACATCACTGCCCAACGCTTGCTGGCAGCGGAGCCCCCTCGTGTCCGGCGAGTCGTAATGTTCCATGGGCCGAACACATCCACACCGACATAAGAAAATGGTGGGCTCGGAGTCAATCGATCGGAAGGCAAGTCTGCCATCTTCTGATGACACAGACCTCCGCGGAGTTTACGACACTTTACGCACAGATGGATCACATCAGAAACCAGTCGTTTTCCTCCAGTTATCCAAAACCCAGCGGCTCTAATTGCGCCCTCTGTGAAATGTCGTCCTTGATGTTGAACCAATGCATGAAAGTGGCGCGTAAGTAGAACAGCGATGTGATGACCGCTTGGAATTAAGATCGGGTTCTTTTCCTTTGTAGACAGTTCAGATTTTTGTAGTCTCCCACCAACTCGGAGGAGTCCTTTTTCGTCAAGGAAAGGCGAAAGGGCGAGTACGCTGCTGTTGCGTGGAATAGGTTTCCCATCGCTCAAACTTTTGATCTCATCACCATAAAACTCCTGTTGTACCGCTTTAATTACAAAGGTTTCAGCCTCGGTGGAACTTTTCCCATACTTGTAAAGCTCGTCCTGGTCAATGTTCTTGGGTTTGCGTCCCTTGGCTACACGTTTGAGGAGTGCTATGACTGACACTAACTTTTTCCATTGGGAAAATCCCTCAAATCGACTGACAAAGGTACGATGCTGTCCAGTTTGGTCAATCTTAGACTTCATCACACTGTCGAACTTCAGAATCGCCATCCGGAGCAATCAATGGATAATCCTCTGATGGAGTTTCACCTAGAGGCCTCCGTAGTCGTTGTGGGCCCATTAGCCACAAGCTTGCGCCAAACTTGTCCGCAGTCATCGACGCTCTGGTGGCTTGGTCTGCTGGGTTTTCATGCGTTGGATGTATGACCACTGTTCCGGTTTGGACGTCTGGAGGACCTTCTGAACTCGGTTTGACACATATGTGTAGAATCTGCGCGTTCTGTTGCTCACATAACCTAGGACAACTTTTGAGTCACTGTAGTAGCGTATTTTATCAAGGGTAATGTTCAATGTCTCACTCAAGGTCGCGCCAACCTCTACTGCCAACACAGCGGCACAGAGCTCAAGTCTAGGTATAGTATGTCCTTGAGTGGGAGCTAGCCTGGCTTTTCCCATAGCGAAACCTACACGTGCACTGTCACCTGTGACGACTCTGACGTATCCGACTGCTGCGACCGCTTTTTCGCTGGCGTCTGCGAAAACGTGTAGCTCAACATTCTCCGCGGTACTGACAGACGTAGGCACAAACACGCGTGGAATACCAAACGTGTCAAGTTTACCTATGGAAGCCTTCCACTCATCCCACCTCCGGAGGTGGTCCTCTGGAACTGGGTCATCCCAGCCAGTTCCTGCTGTGAGTTCCCTCAAAAGAATACATCCTTGTATGGTGAACGGAGAGAGAAAACCCATAAGGTCAAATACGCTGTTAAGCGCCGAAAACATTCCTCTTCGTGTACCTGGTGTATCCCCTAGCCGCACATCAAACTGAAACTGGTCCTTGTCAAGATCCCAGGACATGCCAAGGCTCCTTTGAACAGGGAGCGAATCCTCCTCAAGGTCAAGTTGCTTCAATCCCTCTCCTCTGTCCTCTGGGGAAAATCCGTTCATGACCTCTTTACTGTTGGAAAGGATTTTGTGTAATCGAATGTTGCCATTGTCCTGTAAGACTTTCTGAGTTCTACTAACAACACTGATGACTTCTTCTGCAGAGGGCCGTGAAGTAAGGGCATCGTCGACATAGAAGTCATTGGTTACAAAGTCCTTTACGTCATGGTCAGCATGTTCTACAGCTTTACGAAGAGCGAATGTTGCAACTGCTGGTGAGGGGCTATTACCAAACACATGAGCTCTTATTCTGTAATCTATGAGGTCCTTATCTGGGTCATTGTCACGATACCATAGGAACCTGAGGAAATTACGATCTTTCCCTGCGACTAGGAACCTGTAGAACATCTGTTCTATGTCTCCAGAGACCGCGTAGATATCCTTTCTGAAGCGCAGTAGTATTCCCAGGAGACTGTTGGTCAGATTAGGACCGGACATCATATTTCCATTTAGAGATGCTCCCTCAAACTCGGCTGACGAATCAAACACGCCCCTTACCTTTCCTGGCTTTTTTGTATTGTAAACGCCAAAATTAGGTAAGTACCAGACCTCTCCGAATGGGGGTGGTGCCACTTCAGCAGCTCCAGAAGTCAAGACCTTCTCCATAAATGTAACAAAGTGATCACGCTTTGTGGGGTTCCTCTTAAGGCTAGTGTCTAGAAAAGCAGCCCTCTTCCATGCCATCTTTCTGTTGTTAGGCATCTCCTTCCTAGGCGTTCGAAAGTGGAGTGGTGCCATCCAGAATCCATTTTCATCACGGGTGCACTCCTTCTCCATCATCTCGCAAAACGTTCTATCTTCGACAGACCAACCGACCTTCTCATCGTCACTAGTCTTAATGAACAAGTCATTGTACTTGACACACAGGTTCTGTTCACACGGTGAGAATATCGATCCACGACCGCTCACGACATTGGACTTTATTACATGGACTTCCGGAGGTGAATGTACTTTACCTAGGCACACTTCTCCTACGATCACCCATCCCAACGTAGTCTTTTGGGCGAATGGTCCCCAACTCCCACATCCACCTAGATAGATTTTATTTCTATTTGTCATATCAATATTTGTTCGTTAAGGAACAAAATCATATTCTTGATGCTGAATTTTCCGAATACGATATACTGTGCGTCTCTGAAACTCATCTTGATAATTCAATTCCTGATAGTGCTGTATCTGTATAGAGATAATTATGGTGGCGGAGTTCTGATTTATACTAAACATAATATTAATATTAAACGTAGACCTGACCTTGAGACAGATGATCTTGAATTAATATGGACTGAAGAAACTACCCATAATAAACCTATTTTTCTTGGCTGTATATATAGACCCCCTAACTCTCTCGTTGGCTACTGGGACAGGCTAGATATTAACCTAAATAATATTATTGATCTGCAAAGGGAAGTAGTCCTGGTAGGTGATTTAAATCAAGACATGTTACATCTAAATCCAAACTCACATCTACATAGAATTTTGTTGAAATATGGGTTAGAAAACACTGTTACTGAACCTACCAGGATTACTTCCCAGATCTCAACATCACTTGACACTATACTAACAAACAATGTTAACTTTATTAAAAATACAATAGTACATCCTCCCTCTTGCAGTGATCACTGTCAAAGTAGCGCTGATCTGAAATTTAAAACTTTAAGGAATACTTCAATAACACTGACTTTGACGGGGCAAATGAGTATCTTAAGTCCATTGACTGGAATCTTTTATTACAAGGTGATGAACCACTGGACAGACTGTCGGGAGCAAAGTGGTTCTCAACACTGGACTTGTTTTCGGGATACTGGCAGGTTGAAATGGACGAGGCAGATAAGCAAAAAACTGCATTTGTAACCAGAAGTGATGCCGTTTGGACTTTGCAACAGTCCAGCGACATTTGAACGCCTGATGGAGACAGTGCAGCTGGCTAAGCTTCCTTGGGAAATATGCCTGGTGTACATTGATGACGTCATTGTTTTAGGGAAAACGTTTCATGAAGCAATAGACAAGTTGGAAAAAGTATTCGACAGACTACGTTTGGCAGGACTAAAACTCAAGGCCAAGAAATGTCATCTATTTAGAAAACAAGTGTTATTCCTGGGTTATATTGTTTCAGGAGGTGGCATATCAACAGACACAGAAAAGGTAAAAGCAGTGAATGAATGGCCCCTGCCTGTGACGCAGACAGATATGAGGTAATTTCTTGAACTTTGTAGCTACTATAGACGTTTCATTCACAGGTTTGCTGAGATCGCAAAACCACTTCATCAGCTGACAGAGAAGGGAACATCTTTCACTTGAACAGACAGGTGCCAAATTGCATTCGATGCGCTTAAGAAATGTTTGACCACAGCACCAATCTTGGCATACCCTGATTTTACAAAACCATTCATCTTGGACACAGATGCGAGTCAATTTGCTATTGGTGGAGTCTTGTCCTAGTGTATTGACGGCAAGGGCAACGAAATATCTTACAGTAGTAGAGCACTTACCAAGTCAGAGAGAAATTACTGCGTAACCCGGAAGGAGTTACTAGCAATGGTATATTGTATCAAGCAGTATCGACCATATCTATACAAACATAGGTGTATAGTGAGAACTGACCATAGTGCACTCAAGTGGCTGATGAGATTCAAAGAACCAGAAGGACAGCTAGCTCGTTGGCTCGAGATTATTTCAACATATGATATAGAAATCCAGCACAGAGCAAGGAAGTTGCACCGAAACGCAGACGCAATGAGTAGGATTCCCTATCAGCCGTGTGGATTCTATGAAGATTAGGAACGTGACCAAGAGGAGGGACCACTTCCTGTATGAACGATTAAGAAGGATGGTAACCCAAAAGTTGATATTGACAAACAAGATGAAGAAACAAGTACATTGAAAGAAAATCAGGAGGCTGATAGTGATCTGAAATAAGTAACTGAATGGGTAAAGAGCGGGAAAAAGCCAAATAAATCCAGGTTCGTTAAATCCTCTGAGCAATGTGGTAAAATCCCTTGTTGAACATTGGGATCAATTGACTATTGACAACGGTTTACTGTGAAGACGTTGGGTAAACCCTTCAAAACACAAAAAGTGTCAAATAGTTGTACCATATGAGGAAAGACGAACCCTGCTGAACATGTGTCATGACACAAGAACTAGTGGGCATCTAGGAGTGCACAAAACTCTGAGTCGTGTGAGACAGAAGTTCTACTGGCCTGGCTTGCAAAGAGATGTGCGACAGTACATTACTGGGTGCAAGTATTGTGTATGTAGGAAAGAATGTGTAAAACGACGAGCACCCATGCAAATAGAACCTACAGGATACCCCATGGAAAGAATGGCGTTTGACATACTCGGACCATTAACGGAAACAAAGGACGGAAACAGATATATTTTGGTAGTAAGTGATTACTTTTCCAAGTGGACAGACGCAATTGCCATGCGAAATATGGAGGCCAGTACAGTTGCTGCATTCATCGTTGAGGAGGTTGTTGTTCGTTTTGGTGTACCAATCAGGGGCGACAGTATGAAAGCAAACTGTTTCAAGAAATGTGTCTTTTGCTTGGCACCAAGAAAACGAGAACTACACTATATCAACCGAAATCGGATGGTATGGTAGAAAGATTCAATCGGACTCTTGCAAGCATGCTTTGTGCCTACGTTGATGAGTGTCAGGATGACTGGGATGTTCACATACCTTACGTTATGATGTCGTACCGTTCCACAGAACAGGAAAGTACAGGGTTTACTCCAAACATGCTTGTGTTAGTGAGAGAGGTTTCTACCCCATTTGATCTGTTCTATGATCTCCCTAACGAGTCTAAACCAGTTTTGCAAAGTCAGTGGGCTTGGGAACTTAGAGAGAGGTTGATTTCAGCTCATAGGTTAGCCAGAGAAAACTTGAAGGGGGCGATGTTGAGACAAAAACATTACAATGACCTAAAACTAAAATGGGATAGTTACGAGACGGGGGAGTTGATCTATGTGTTTTTCCCTCAACAGAAGATTGGCAGGTCATCAAAGCTGATGAGTTTTTGGCAAGGTCCTTTTAAGATAGTTGAAAAAGTATCAAATGTCATTTACAAGGTTGTTAGTGATGAAAAAAAAGAGCATGTCATTGATGTTGACAGGATGTGCAGATGCCAATCTCAGGTTCTCAAAGGTGAAAGTGAGACTCGTACAGATGTCGAGGTTGACCAAATACAAAATGGGTCAACATGGTTCGAGGTGAACGAGATTGTAGACCTTCCAGATAGCACAAAAGGCCGTGTCAGAAGAAGACCAGTCTGGATGACTGAATATGTACTGTAAAATACAGAAAATGTTAGATGTGTATCTTTGTGTGTTATAGGAAGATGAGTCCACTGTGTTGCGAGAGACTACCATCAGATAAAGAGTGGTAAGCGCACTTGGTGATCTGCGGAACCAATGCAAGAGTAAAGAAGAAGTTTGAGTGTAATGAGTGTAACTCTGTCACGGAGAAGAATGTTTGTCTGAAGAGACGCAAGGAGAGGAAGCATCCAGTACGAGAATACTCGTTGGATTGTCACGATCTAGGGAAAGTGTTAGATATCATAGGGGAAATATCAGAGGACGATTCAGAACCTGCATCAAAGACATCTAAGAAGGAAGAAATGGTTACTGTCAGAAAGCAATGTCGTCCGAACCCTGTATATACACCAAAGAGACCTAACATTCCACAAGATTCTGCACGTGTTTCGAGTGTTGCTGGGCAATCCGTCACAGGTAGTGTACGTGAACCAAGACTACAGACCAGAGATACAGGGACACAGTTAGGCAATGTAAAGACATTTGTGGATGCAGCTGTCCAGGTGAACCTTTCAAACCACAGGAGAACCATGAAGACAACGACATCGTACACGGAGAATGGGAAGTCTGTTGTCAAGGTTGAGGAAGAAGACTGGTTCGACTGAGTGATTCAAAGAACAAAACAAAATAAAAATAAACATTTGCTCTTTTACTAAATGTGAATTGCAGAGGCGTGGGTAATGAAGCGGTTGATTCTTTGTTAATTACATTGTTCAATAAATGATCGTTAGTATAGACTCCCTTTAGTTATTTCTTTGTAATTAGGAAGTAAGAGTAGTTTTGATTGGCTAATGAAAGAAGGCAGTTCATTGGATGGCTAGGTATATAAATAGAGGTTCCATCAGATGAAAAGCTCCCGTGTAGGAGGGTCCAACCTGCACGTAAAAAATCCCTCTGTGTATTGTCGAAAGAGTAGGCGCGTTAACGCCGACACAGAGGATAGGGATAGATTAGATTACACTTATTATCGATGATTCGACGGACTTCCAAAATATAGGAACAAAATAAAAAAAAACAAATAATAGAGTAGGATATAAAAAACGGACAGCCTGGATACGATACGCCCTCCTCCTAGACCAATGCCATGATATGATACGACCGGTGATCTCCCCATCCCTTTTTTTTTAATATAAGAAAAATTCCAATAAAAAAAATATAGTATAAGCCCAACAACTTAAAGACCCCCCATAAGACCAAATACTAATAACCTTTTTTTATTTTATTTTTTTATTTATTTTTTAAATAAGACATACACCAGAGAATAAAGGGTAAATATCTGCATACACCATAGGGACCCCTCGGATAATCTCAAACTCCGGCCAAATCTGACAAGGAAACAAAGTACTGTACCTAACGGAAGCAGAGACGTTTCCCTACTGTCGGGCTCAACCGGCAGTNTTTTTTAAGTACATATATACACTAATATAAGCCACATTGGCCAATTTCGAGTCCCCTCAACGACACAAAAACATTAGTAAGGAGCAACAATCACAGATACAACATCCAGCAAGACACACCATTTCGGACCAAGGAGTCGTCTCCAAATTACACCACAAGATAAGGATAGGATAGAATAGACGACTCCAAACCACCCCCCGAGGGAAGGCAACTTCCCTCACGCCGACAGAACACTGACTTCCGTCAGTGAGATGAAACCCGTAAGGGCGGATTCATGTAGGCGCGAAACCCGTCATCCATCCATCTATCCGATGAAAAGCTCTCTCTTGCTCTGGCGGTCGAAAAAG